GAAGTGAATATTGGTTTTTTTTTTTTTTGGATCGGAAAAGTGAATAGTGGTTCGAAAGCAAACATTTGGGCATGATTACACTGTCGGGAAATTGTCTAATTAATCCTAAACATATTATACGAATGCCAATTCAGTCATAAATTTTTCAACTCTGCGAATTCGATCCTCAATCTTTACGCGAAATTTTAATGTAGTCCTTCATATTAATTATTGTCGGAAATCGCTGATGTGACGATATGTTACGTAGGACGGCTAGCAATGTCTAGATCGTCATGTCAGCGATTTCTGTCAATAATTGACTGGAAAAATTACGGTGGAATTTTATACAAAGGTTTAGGACTAACTTAGCAAAATTGAAAATTTTGGGATTGAAATGACATATGTGCAATAGATTTATGACTAATTGGGTAATTTAACCTAACATAATCACTAGATTTAATGTGAATCGCTCATGCCACAACATAGAAAAAATTGAGTTTAAAACTTATAGTGGATGGTATTCTTTAACTAAATCAATTTTTGGCTAATCCGAATCTAATATATTAATCTTGCTCTTGTCATGTAGAAGTTCAAAGAAACACCTTTGCAGCCAATTGCACCATATAATTGTCTGTTTATTTTACACTGGTGGTGTATATTGTATTTCTTGTTTTATGGGAAAATTTCAGATGAATGCGTCTTTTCAAAAGGAACTTCACAATAGACCTTGTGGACCTTATCTTAAATAAAACTGTTCAAATGGCCAACTTAGGGTCAGTTTAGTAATGTTTCTATTCCTAAAAATAATTTCTATTCAAAAATAATTTTTTCAATTTCTATTCCCTAGACAAGTTTCTGAGCAAAAAAATGTGTTTAGTAGCTGCACAAAAATTCTATTCCCAACATAGAAAAAGAACACAAATGCGTTTGATAGGACACTAAAAATTTATACTCCCAATTTTTTTATTTAATTGTAAAATTATCGGTGGATACTTAACAATTCATGTTTAGATAAAATTGGACTAGAAATAGAATAAGAATATATTATGATATAGAATTGGATGACCTTAATACAATTATAAAGAAAATTACTCCCCATAGACAAAGCAAATATCAGGTGATGATCGAGAAAACTGCAGTTTATGATATAGGATTTCAGGATTTGGGTTTAGGGGTTAGGGTTTAAAGATTTCGGTTTTGAGGTTTTGGGTTTTGGATTTTAGGGTTTACGGTTTGGGGTTTAGGTTTTAGAGTTTTGGATTTGGGATTTTGGGTTTGGTGTTTCGGGTTTCGGATTTGGGGTTTAAGGATTTGGGTTTGGAGTTTAGTGGTTTAGGGTTTACGGTTTTGAATATTGGGGTTTGAGATTTAGGGTCTAGGGTTTATAGTTTAGGGTTCGGGATTCGGGATTTTGCGGTTTAACGTTTTAGGATTTAGGGTTTGCAATTACGATTTTGGGGTTTAGGTTTTAGGGTTTCGGGTTTGGAGTTTTGGGTTTGGGATTTTAGAGTTTGGGTTTTTGGGTTTAGGATTTGGGGTTGGGTTTGGGTATAGCCGGCTTGCACGGGCAGCTCCCGCATTCGAGTTTTATCAAACCGGATAAAATTAGAACATCTCGAACAAAATCGCCTCTGATGTTGGCATCGGAAGTTGCATGTACAAATCGGCCCGGAAAGATAAAAGCAAAAACCATTTTCTTGGTGGGGTTTTAATTATGTAGGCAGGAGGTAGAGAGACCTATGAAGTGAAAGCTGACAAGAGAAAATACAGTCGCAAGAACCGGCATTGTTCTTTCTTTCTTTCTTTCTGTCCGTATGTAGCCGACGCTTGAAGAGAAAGAACAGGAAGAAGAGGCCTTTCTCTTACCCAACTTTTTGATTTAACATAGACTTACACTCGACATATCTCTTTATGTTTTCTTTTCCTCCTCCTCATCATCATTCATGCAAAACATCTGAGAAAGACCAGACCAACAACGTCGCCATCACTCCACTGTTTGCAGACTTAATTGCTCCGCCCCTCGTGGCCGTGAGAGCTCATAATACGCAAAGCGCTCGTCCACAAGTAGCCATTAGCCACGTGTCACCCCCGCTTCAGATGAAAGGCCATTTTGACCTTTGAAGAAAGTCATTTTGATAGGAGGTGCCGTCGTCATTCATCGCGATGATTATTGATTAGGATGATGGCGATGGCGATGGCGATGGCGATGGCGACGCCGGTGTTACAAGAGAACCGACCGGTTCCTTCGAGTTCCAGCCCTCTTTACAAAATGTTCAAATCAAACTTAATGACATCATCCATACCATAAATGATCCGACATTGGCAAGGGCCCGTCGCTGCAGCCTCGCCGAGAAACTTCTAGTTGGGTGAATTTAGTCGTGCGAGGCATGTTGAAACTAGACGAAGTAACACGAGCCATTCAGAGGATGGTTTAGAGCACGAATCGAACTCTTTATCTCGTGAAAAACAGTTACTTAGGATGCGCATGATAATCATTCTGTACCCGGAAACTATTTCTACTCAGAAATGATTCTTTTTGATTCTGTGCCCGAAAATAATTTCTGAGCATTTAAATGTGTTTGGTAACTGTCCAAAATTTCTATTCCTGGAATAGAAAAGAACAGAAATACGTTTGGTAACAACACAAAATTTCTTTTTATTAATAATATTTTAAATTGTTTAATATTTTTTTTCTTTTTTTTTCTTTCTACCCTTCCCTTCTTTGGCCATGGCCGGTCGCCGGCGCCGGCGACCGGCCACAGGCCAGGGCATCGCGGCCCTGGCCGCCGCCCTCGCCGCCTGCCTCGTCCAGATCAGGAGAGGCCGAGCCTCGCCGTCGGTCGCGACAGCGAGGTCGGCCTCGCCGTGGGTCGCGACGGCCAGGTCGGCCTCGCCGTGGGTCGCGACCCACGGCGAAGCCGACCTCGCCATGATCGACGGCGAGCCGCCTCACCCAGGAAGTGAGGGTCCAACCCTCGCCCTCGCCGGCGAGGGCCATGACGCCCTCGTCGGCCCTAGGCTATGGCCGGCCGGCCGCCGGCGACCGGCCACAGCCCAGAGAAGAACAACACAAAGAAGAAAAGAAAAAAAAAGAAAAAGAACTCGTTCTCAAAATTGTGCCGAGAAACAAGAAGTAACTTTTTTTTATTTCTTGTTTCTCTTCCAAAACTATTTCTGGGAATAAATTTTTGCAAAAATGTGTCTGGGAACAAAAAGTTTACTAAACGCATTTCTGTTCCCGAACTATTTCTGGAAACAAAAGAACAGAAATTTTCACTGTTTGGCACGTTACCAAACGGGCCCTTATTTGCTACTAGGCCAACCACCTCATTGGTCTTTTGAAATATTTTAGGTATATTATCAGACCCTATTGAATACTCGTAGTATATCTCTGTATTATTCATCTTATAATATGTGTTTTTTTTTTCAAAACCTACGAAGCGGGGTTAGCTATCCGTTATATCTCAATCACTCAATCAGACTCGTCAAGACTGTTGGAACCAGTTCGCACGTAAAAAATCTGCACCTGTCCCACACTACAACAATTGTCAAACCAACCACTCCCATCTCTTCCATTTTTCCGCCGAAGCCCTTTTTGTACAGTGCTTCTGATTTCCCCATGCTCAAGCTCATTATACAACACAGATGCCGAAACTCAGAGAGAGAGAGAGAGAGAATTTAATACTTCTTTTTGCGTTTGACGGTCAGACACTTCAAATACGTGCAAGAAAGATAAGAATTGGAAAAGGGCAGTTCGAAAGTGGGACTGCTTTCAGAGATTCATCAGTCTTTTGATCACTCCAACGTGTGCTGAGATTGGCCAATCTCAGTCTCTGTGGCCCCTTTTCCGCATTGTTCTGACTCTAGCTTACTGTGTATACCGGCGGTACTCTATCGTGTACACTCGTTTTACTGAAGTTCTATGCAAACCAGGAAGACAAAAGGGTCATTGATTCTCTCTCGCAGTCTTTGTTTGAAATGCATTTCGGCACATTGGCATAACCGGATCTATAAAATTAATTAGATGCATCAATGATTCATCAGTAACTAAGGGTAACAACTCAAGGTTGACATGAGAACATATTTTGGATTAAAACAATGAAACACGTTCATCAATGTTATATTATACCATTCATGATGTGATGGAAAACGTTCAAAACAATGAAAACTCACAGAGATGCAATGGTTCGTTGTGTGACATGTGCGATTAGCAGTATTTAGCCGATTACATGCAGTGCGACAATCATTTAATTGCTTGTCACAAATAGCACAGATACCTCACCATTTTTCTTGACCTTGCTCCATGATGAATGCAGATTTTTTTTTTTTTTATGAAAAGCTTGTGGAATACTTCCTGTGTCATGATTAATTTGCTAGAACTTTTCATTCCTTTCGTTTTCCTTGTGATCGCCCCACAAAGCGCATCGGCTAGGTAAACATCCCCAGAAAAACTAGAGTTCGTGATCCAACTCACCGCCCCCCACATGCCTTTTCCCTAACTAGACCACGATCAGTAGCCTAAATTATTACAGAGTTTCTTTGCCCTAATTACATTTATCATTTTCATCGCGTAAACAAGCAATCCGGAAATTACACTCATTAGCTAGGGAATAGAATCTTAATTTCTTAGATCATTACACTAGCTCCAGGTTCGCCAACAATCTAATCGGTGCTGAAACTCAAGTCGGCTACTTCATTCTGACTTCTCTTTTGTCACTGATTAGCTGACTTGATCGGGTTTTGAAAAGAAAGTTGACAGAAAATTAGCAGTTGCCGAGTTAAGAAACATTTCCATGAACATAGAAATTAGAAATGACATGATCACCCCTGTTCGACTTCTGGGCAATAAATTGCATAGCCATGTAGTGACATTGCTATATATGATGATCTCCTAGGGTGTCCGGCGTTCGTCACAGGTACAAGATTCGACAAGCAAGCACACTTTGTGGACTAAAGAAAATGGGAAAAAAATAGAGAAAGAAAAGAGAGAGAGAGAGAGAGAGAGATAGAGAACGAAGACAGAAGCAAAAGGAGCATTTAACCATGTTGTTCTTAATGAGGTGTTACATAGTTCGGCAAACTTCAAGTTTTCCAAGACCGACCACAAACCCGATTCATACGGAAACTTAACTTGGACTCACTGTAATGTAAACCCTAATATATAAAGAGAGAGAGAGAGAGAGAGAGAGAGAGAGAGAGAGAGAGAGAGAGAGAGATGGGAAGGCAGCACAGTGACCACAGAGAGAGAGATGGTAAGGCAGCACAGTGACCACAGCATAGACAGCTTCTGCTTTCCTCCTTTTAGCCTCCACGCGTGTTCATATCTGCAACCCGAGAAAGCCGCAAGTGCGTCGAAATCAAGAGACAGTAAATGCTGATTAACAAGCAAAGTTCAGCTCAAACAGGAACTAACAAATCAATCAGTTTCACTGCCCAACAACACATCTTTTCGATTCACCAGTCAAAAGTTTCTCTGAACCCCTTTAACCACGAAAGATCTTTGTACGAAGAAACACATTACGTCAAGAGAAACACGATTCAAGATAAGATAATGGTAATCACCAGATAATAAGAGGCGCCGTGCTGGAGCGACTGAAGAGTGAGACCCCACTCATTGGTGAGAACCAGCTCACCCGAGGCGTTGATAAGCACTGCGTCATCCCCGAAAGCGTCCTGCACGTTGAACGGCCCGGATGCCACCTGGAACGCGACGTCATTGATGAACACCGTGGATTTCGCCTCGTTACTGGCCTCCGGAACACCTGCACGCACGCGATCATCTCTCCTCCTCCCTCTCAAATTCTCGACTCCAACACACGCATGTATTTGCCAATATCATACACACCACATACGCACATGAGTCGAACGCAGTGGTCAAATACATCAAATTCAAAGACTTTGTTTTCTCTTATTTTTTCTTTTTGCTGTTGCTGTTTCATCACCCATGCACACGTTCGTCTAGACAGAGATCGCAAAACCCGGACGCAAAATCTAATTCATACTCTTCACAATTGATTGGAATAGTTACAGACGTTCAAATTTTTTCTTTGTTTTATAGTTTCGATACATCAATCACTTCCATGAGACCAGACCTACACTGACGTGTATGTGTCACACGATCTTTAAACAAATTTAGAGAGACAAACATATATTCTTATGCCCTTGCTTATCCTACTTTTGACCTACATTCTTTGTTTTTATCTTATGTTTCCGAAAATAAACTTTACACTAATGTAGCCGCACACCCATTAGGAGGCAGACATTATCTGCTCACAGCCTTTAAAAACTATTTTTAAATACAATTAGCGCAGAAATTTTTGCAAGCAAGAAGCCCATCATGAAGCTAGGCCTACTTTTCTTTATTTGTGGTAATAAATTAATCTCTAGTCATATCAAAGTGAAGAGCTTTCTTACCCTGAAGATGGTTGATGTTGGTGCTTGGAAGAGGAAGGCTAGTAGTGACAGTTGTGGAAACAGCAGAGTGAGTCGTCCCTAAAGGGTTGATCACAGAACAGTTATTGCCCAGAGAGGTTGTTGGCAATTGCATCATCTTCACCTTGTGATGATCACTTTGCCCTAGTTTCTCAGAACCAGCTGCATTGTTGTTGTTGTTGTTGTTCATGATCTCACTAAGTAAAAGGCTTGTGCAAGGGCCAATATTAGGGCTTTGCTCATGAGGGACTTGAACCACACTTGCCAGTGGAGAGAAGCAAAGCCCTTGACCAGCTTGACTGAAAACACAAGTGCTTACGCCCTGGTGACTTTGTTGTGGGAAAAGCAAGGACGGCTCGGTGAAAAAATCCCCATGATGGTTCTGCGAGAAATAGGCCTGGTTCATGGACATAACCGGATTTGGGACATCGAGAGCGTCCGTAGAACACGAACCTAGGGACAAGTTTGTCTTCTTGGACCCAGTCGGAGAGGTCCTGTCAGACGAGGACGACGACGAAGAAGAATTAGGAGCTGTGATGGCGGGTGACATTGAAGATGTGATTGGATTGAGATGGTGGTTGTTGCTGGTGTTGGTGTTGGTGTTTTGGTTTTGTTGTTGCCTCTGTTGTTTCGAGGTCTGGAGGTGACGGAGCTTGTGCTTGCTTCTTGATTTCCGGTTCTGGAACCAGTAGAACACGTTGGCGTCGCCGACTTGCCCATACTCTTGCAATTGACCCCTGATCTTCCGAATCTCGTCCCTCGGTGGGTTGACCATCCCGGAGTCGAAGATCGCCTCAAGTATGCGGATTTGCTCCGGCTTCGGGTTCCACCTCGGCTTTGGCTCCGGGGTTCGCTCCTCGCAACCTTGAAAGAAACATAAATGAGCCCTTAATTACATATCTTCACTATCGAGCAAGCTCTACATAAATAAGCTATGAATAAGGTTGGCCGGCACGCTTAAATTTTTTTTTTGTTGGGTCATAAGCACGCTCAAATTAAGTTTGATATGTTTTGTATTCTATTTTCGGTTATGTGACTTTTATGTGAATCCAAGAATGTTCAGTTATGTTGGGTCTTGAGAATTGATTTTGAGGAACAAATTGCTGTGTCAAAATCCAGCTGAAAATGATGAAAGAGTAATAACAAAGCCATGATTGGCAATATCATGGGTTGATTTTTCATGGTGGGCTAGAGAGATAGACTGATGAGCTGAGGATCAAAAGGGGTTCAGAAAACGATGAGTAAAAATCATAATCCGTATCATAAATCCTCAGAAAAAGGGTAAAAACCCTATTCCTTTCACGCACAAAAGAAAAGGAAGTTCATATCCTTGAAAGTGTGAAATTAATTAATATCATTATTACCAGATGAGTATGGCGAAGTTCTGTTGCATCCACTTGATGACAGGAGAGAAGGGTTGAGATCATGTTGCCATTGGTGATGCTGCGTGTTGCAGGGCTTGGACTTGAACATGCTAGGCCAGTGTCTATTTGATGAAGCCATTGATAATCCGTTGCAAAGATAACAAGCAGCAATAGGAATATGAAGAAGATGATCTCTCTGAACGGTCAGCCAAAGAGAGAAAGAGAGAACAACACTGCAAAGAACCCTTTTGTCGCTCTCTTTTGTTTTAGGGTCACTGTAACTCAATAGCTAAGAGCACCTCCTCCCTTCTTATAGCCTCTTCACTGTCACCTACCCTCTGCAAAATTCAGTCCATTTTTTCGATTAAGTACGCAGTCCTTAACCCATACCGCCACCCCCCCCAAAAAAAAATTTTAACTTTCAAAAAGAAAATGAAAGAGAAGGAAAGAAAGAAACCCTAACTGGTTATACATATCAAAAAGAAAAATGAAAAGAAAAACCCCATTAGGAGAAGTGAAAATTTATTAAGTTGATTAAAATAGGCAAGACCAACAGCGGGGAATCGCCTGTGGAAACATAAACAAGAAAGGAAATGGGAAGTAAATGAAAAGTGTGGGATGAGTACAATAACACCCATACCTTTGCTTCGCCTTACGTATATACTTTGGCAACAGGACTGAAATTATTATCATTACTTGTGTGCATACTCAAAGTACAATGACTTTTCCCCAATTCCTTCCCCTCAGGATAAGAAGCAGAGTGACCATGGAAAGCTACACATGTTGGGATTTTTATTGGGAATTTTTCAGGCTGTGAGAGAGAGAGAGAGATGTTAATGCAAAAGCTATGTGGGTTGAAGAAAGGGAAGAGAGAGAGCGTGTGCAACTCTTTGAGTCTTGATCTGATCAGTTTGTCTCTTTCTTTCTTCGTTGTTTGTTGCAATTATTATTACTCTCTCTCTCTCTCTCTCTCTCTCTCTCTCTCTCTCTCTCTCTATACATTGTATCACTTGAGTTTGCTTGCAGAGAGTATTAATGGTTGAGTGAGAAGAAGTAGAAGATGAGAGATTATTCTAATGGAAGCGGTTGTTGCAGAAATAAATACGGGGGTGGTGGTGATGAATATGAGTTAGTCTTAGCGTTTGAAAGTCAACGAGAGAGAGAGCGCATTCTAGGGTTTTTTTGCAGTTTTTGATTAATAAAGCGGTGGGAAATTAATTGCAAAAAAGGGAATTTGGTTATTTCGAGCATAGCAAGAGAGAGGCCCTCTTTTCTTCTTTCAATTGGATTGACTCGAGGTTAATTAATTTTGGGTACTTAATTAACCCTTTGTTCCAAATGATGCATTTCCATTTGTCAAATTTTCGAAATTTATCTCAAATAATGTGTTTGTTGAAGCTCTTTCTCTTTCTTTTCTTTTAAGTAGGTTTGATTTTGAATTAATCAAATAACACTTCATGTGGCAATGGCGTACACTAGTCACAAGTCTCGATCTTCATCATCCATGTGAGTAATTCTAGACAAAATATATAACTTTGAGCAAGTTTAATTTAATTTTTCAGCTCGATTTTCATAAGTTGAAAAACACATCTGTTTTTTGCGGAGTCGAAGCACTTCCTTCATTAATGAAAAGGTTGTTAGGACTCATTTTTTTACTAGAAGAAGGACAAATCATGGTATGCTCAAGTTCAGTCATTTGAATTATAATAAGTCTGCGATGTTTCTTTAAAGAGTTTTTTTTCCCGGAGCATACGTTTAACGGTGCAATTTTGTTTATATTTCGTTCATTCACTTTCTAATCGAGCTCTACAAGAACCTTCTTACCAAAACCCAATGATGTATTGATGATTAGAAGAATGCATATGAGGAACTAATGATATCCAGCTTATGGCATTCCTTAGGATGCAAAAGAAGACCCGGAGTAAAACATTTTCTTTGTATTTTTCTATACAGGATATTCGAATCTTTCAACTCGACTAATCTACGGATGTAGGCAAACTACTTCGTTTATGTGGAGATCATTGCAAAAGCTCAAACTGATAAAGCATGTGGAATAAACAAGAAGCCTCACACATGGAAAACTGACTTCGAAACCATGTTAGAAAATCAAAGCCAAAAACTTAAACATATAGGTGGAAGAAGACTGCAAAATTCAAACCCATTAAAACTCCATAAATAAGCAACATGGGATACTTCAGTAGTCGAAAACATTAATATACAAAATATGTTGTTTTTGAACAAAACAATTAACGGCTAAACCAACTCGTTAAAACTTTTTTGAAATTTATAATAGGTATGCTTGTCGAAAAATTAAATGATTGCAAATTTGGACCTGTATAAGTAGATACTAAGTCAAAACCATATTTACTAGGGGTGAGTACCGGTTCAGGGTACACCTTGAAACCGGACTAAACCGACATTGTACGATCCAATTCCGTCTGGTCCTTGTTCCCCACAGGAAACGATCTTGTCCTCGGTCTCAAAAATTGGGAACCGACGCTACGCAGTTCGGTTCCAAGGTCAAGGTGCTAAACCAGACTGGCGGACCAACCCTAGACCGAACCCATTTTAATTATGTTTGTTATTTGTTTTCTTTTCAAGTGGTTAGAATTTGGAACAATCTTTTAAGGAAATGAGGAATGAAGTTTTATAATTCATGTTTTATATTACGTATTATGAATTTCTTTATAATTTATTTTATTTTACGTGTTCATCTTTTAAGGGCCCTTGCTTTTGGCAAATGGAGAAATCTATTGTTTTTGTTTTGCTTAACTAAGGGATGAGTTGGATAATTCCCTATTGCTTTAGATTTTTGTTTGGCTTTTACCTATATTTTACTTATCATCATTTTGTTGCTAAGTATCGTATTTCTAAATATTGTGTTTTAATGGATATGTACTTTGAAAGAGTAAGTTTGCTCTTTCAAGAAATACAAAAAAAAAAAAAGAATCGACCAAATCTCTGGACCGACTCTGGAACCGGACTGGACTAGTATGGTTGGTTCCAGAGTCTACATAATCAGTTCCAAGTTGAAAAATCTAGGAACCAACCCTTTGAGGATAGGTTTTAGGTTTCAAGATTGCAAGGGGTTAAGTTATATGTACTTAATTAACGAAGCTTCGTATGTCCCACAACTCGAGCAATCTCTTATTCTCACTTTCCGAAATCCCCAAAACCCTAATTTACCAAAAATAAGTGAAAATATGCAGGTACTAATGAATGCATGTGAAGAAGATGGAAACTGATCACTCAAATCTTCATATGGATTGTCATTTTGTCTCGTACAGCTGAACACTAGTCAACTACCCCAGCAGGGCATAGAATGTTGGACTCTCCTCGCTTCTTACTATCTAAAATTAATTTCAAAACAACGTTTTTCGACTAAGTTCGACATTTTCATAGAACCGAGTGTTCAAATGCTGAATTTGTAACCCAAATCGATCCATCAAGTTAACTTTCTCTCTGATGAAACGATCTTAATAATCTTCTATGACCTTATAGATGTGATCCCGAGTTAGAACCACATCATAGATTCGATGCTTTTCGAGGGACGAAATCTCGGGATAACTATGTCGACTCGATTAATCCCTCTCGATAGATATTCGTGCTCGTTTGCACATTAATTTTTTTTTTTTTTGGAGGGGGGCGCATGATTGCATTGAATGAGGGGGAGGTGGTGTGTGTGTTGTAAATGTCTAAAAATGCCGCATGAGATGGGTATGTGTCGAAGCCTGAAATGCGCTGAACAAGCTGATGCTCTTGTTGCAAACGTGCAAGCAGTAAATACGCACTCTCTCAAGACACCAACATGCGACAATTTATTGCGCTCAAATTTGCTTGCCCATGATGCGATGCGGACCTCTCTTCTCTCCCATCTCCTCCCTCTTTGGGCACTGAAAATTGAGCGGCCAGATCGTCAGAATTCTTTCTCACTGTTCCTTCATTCGTCGTACGCATCAAACATCTCCATCCTATGGTAACCAACATCCTTAGCGTAATGCGAATCATACAAATAGCGCTAATAGAGTGAGGATAATAGAGACCTGCGGTTTGTGATTCTACGAAATGATGAGTGGATCGAGCGACTCTTTCAAATCGGTCGGTGCTCAAATGTCGTGGCCACATCGAATGTGGTCGACGGAGGTCTACCTCTTAGCTTCAAACGAGGAATGCAAAAGGATCGCACGTGCGAGCTCGACACCCTAGTAGTTATGGCCGGTTGTGAGAATCACATTTCTTGTAGAGAGATTGTCATGGACTTCCTCCGCGCTGAGATTTGGTCTCGCCGTGCAGGTTCTCCGACTCTTGTTTTCTTTCAATCTCCTTCCCGGGGTGTGTAGATTTTACCTCTATTAGCTGATGCATTAGGCCCCTCTCATCCATGTGAATGTATCTACTCTACGATGTTTTTAAGAATGATATCAAATCTGAGTGCCAGACCAGCCCCAACACAATACAGCTACAATCAAGTTAACGGTCTCGAGACAAAATTTGGAACAAAGGGGATGCCCTATGGGTTGTTTGGGGCTGATTCGGAATTTAACTGGCGGATACCTCGTCCACAATATCATTACTCTCCTAGTTCTAGTATAAACTGGGTTATTTAGATAATTATATAGTTTGTTTCTATATTAATATATCTATTTACTCAATCGAGATAATATTAGGCACGTTTAAAGTTCCAGTGTATTGGAACGGGTATTCAGGTGCATTTAGCAAGCAATCTCGAATATGGGACAAGTTAGAGGTTGTATTTGGGGCTAATTTGCCATCCTCAGTTGGTAGCTCCGACAGGCTTCCTCAATGACACTCCACATTCTTTTAGCAGTAAAAAGGGAGAGTATTACCAATCAATACTCACCGGGGGGAAGTGCCGTTCATTTACATTAGACCTTTCATTAGAGACTTAAGGGGGCTCTGGATTTACATTAGAGTGCTGTTGATCGAAATGGACATTCATTTCGCGAAAGAAAACTTGCTAAGAAACACTGCACAATAGATTACCATATACAGTCTTCTGTTTCCTTCAGATCCATGGAACCGAGATCCTCCCAATGCAGTCCAGTCTCGTGCGACGAAAAAGAGTGGAGAAGTCTCTTCTAGGTGCAAAAAACTTACCACCTGCAACAGAGGAATGGTCAGCAACCAATCATAAGTTTCATAACGAAAACATGTAATAACAAACTACTGCCACGACAGACCAGGTTCATACATTGTAAGGAGTCTCATATTTCTCCTTCTCGTTTAAGTACAACTATATATCTTGATCAATATTGGACCAATAGAAAAATGTAACAGATTGGATGGCGAACATGGAGAAACATGTAACGATTAATGAGCACCAAGGCTAGGACTTGAGGCCTATGCAAAGAACGGACTGCACAAGATGTTATTCTAACCTTGTAAAAGAACAGCATCACGCTAAGAACAGCTTTCCAGCCCAACATTAGAACGACAAGAGAAACGGAATACAAAGCCCAATTCCAGGAAAGAAAGAGAAGTATATGCCTGATGTCAGATTAGCAAGTCAGGTGCAGATGTCACAGGTTGCAATGCAAAGCTAGAAAGAACGTATTAAACCGGAATTACACTCCATAGTCCATCCTATAGCATATTCCCCTTTTCTGTGAGACCAGCAATATCTAGGTACCAGGTAATAGTCTACAACTATCCAGAAAAGCTCAGCATGTTCTTAACGGCATTCAATAATAACGAGGAAATATCAAAGAAAGAGAAACCTTATCTGAAGGAAGAGGATGATCACAAGAGCCATATACAATCAAAGAACCTAAGCTAAGGCCATTGCCATATAAACAGCAGTTTGATTACATCCCCAATCAAATCCACAACATGTTCTGGATTGCATGATAAGCATACAGCAAGCTCTCTTACGTGGATAATGTTCAAGAAGAAACAGGTCTTACAATCATTGATATGCAAGCAAGATCTGGAAAAGGAAACAAAAAAGATAGAAGAAATAAGAAATTTTTGTACAAGATAAAAGGTCCATTCATACTTTCTTAGAAGAAAGTCCCTTATTTTTGTTTTTGATTAGTCAGGCGAAAGTCTCTAACCTATCCATTCTAATTTCATTGCCATATGCATACAGACAAATCCACCTGGAAACAACCAAGTTTGCCGAAGAAAGGTGGCATCTGAATAAGATAGACTAAGAGGCATACAAATCTTGGTCAGACCATGGCAAAACCCTGTCTATGTAGAGACCTTCAACTTCTTTCTCTTTCATATTTAATATGCATCCAATAAGCAAAGTCTGAAAGATAGAGAAAGGACGGCCCATCACTCTACCGGCCTGACCATGACCAAAGGCAAGAAAAGGCTATGGACCAAAGAGTATTCAACATCACCAGTAAGTTTCTACATCTCAGTAAATCTGGTGAGCAATGCTGCATCAATAATAAAGAACTACATGACCAATCAACTGACAATAGTATTAAGCCCCTAGTCCCTCCTAAGTTCCTAACTCTAGTCCCAGGAATGTTTCCACATTTAATGGCGAGAAACCTCAATATTGCCAATAGGAAATTTTGCTATCTCAATATTGTTCCCCCAATTTCAATTCAAGGTCTCAACAAATCCACTCATGTGGTAAAAGCAGAGAACCTCCCTACAACTTGGTCGGCTCGCCAACCTCGGAAGAAAAAAATGGCATCTTGAGTTAGTTCAAGATTGATTTCGAACCTACCACATCGTTATTGTGCACCCGCTCGAATCAAATCTTCCAACTATGTAAGCACAGCATATCCTCGACGCCATTTCCTGGGGGACGTACATGTAGGATTCAATTCTCTAATTACCCACGTTCACGACACAACATCGACATCAATTCAACAAATGCAAACGCTCGTAAACAAGCAATAATCTCCCCCATTAACCTATCACTCTTCGCAATATCATACAGCTGCAACAACTTAGGAAAGCAAACCCAAATTACCAGTCTTTAGTATAATTGCACTCATAGTACTATCCGTCTTCTACAGATTAAGCTACTGCGAAACCGATAATCATTGTCCGCATCACTCCAGCATTCTAACAATCCACCGTCTCGCATCTTCCCATGAATCAAATCCCACTGTTCATCGGGAAAAAGAAAGGCAAGGAAAGGGCTATAGTACCTACAACGCCAATCGCAACGCGACTACCCGCTCGCTTTCTCCGACACGTCCTTCTTCGGCGCACCGGCATCACTCGGATACGCCGACGAGGGCGCGTGCGAGTCGTCCCCGAGCGACGGCAGCGGGTTGCCGCCCTTGATGAACCAGCCCAGGGCGAAGAACGCGGCCCCGGCGAGGATCGCCGTGCCCCAGGCGTGGGAGTACCACCGGCTGTACTGCCGGATCGCGAACCGCCACTGCTCCCGCAGCGCGACCGGGTCGGGGTTCGCCGCGTCCGGCGGGTTCGGGTACTTGATCCGGTGGCCGGAGAACTCCCGGGGGTGGGGCTCGCCGCCCGGGAGCTCCGGCGAGGGCGGAGGAGGGCGGGGGGGAGGGGCGGCGGCGGCGGCGGGGCTGCGGTCTTGGCGATCGGTCATGGCGGTGGGGTGATTCCGAGTGTGGATTGAGGCCGAAATGCGTGTAGAAGTCGGGCATGGAGTGTGTGACTCGGGTGAGAATCGCCGCCCGATGTTAATCACGGCCGTTAATCTTTGTTGAGTCAACGTGATCAACGGCAATGATTATACGTGATCGGTGGATGCGGGTTCAGACAGAATATGCATGTTGATTAATTTTTTATAATTTTGTGGTCCACTTATAGTTTCAAGTTCAAATATTTGTGTATAAACCTCAGAATTAAGCAGGGACAAACGCTGCGCATGTGTTCCATCCCAAACCCTGTTTGTCTATACTATATCCTTTGGCCATTTGGGATACCGAACCCTGTTTAGCCGACACGGTTGCAATCCGCCGCCGCCGGCCATTCGGGATCTACTTAACCCGACTTCCCGGAGGCACGAGGAAACCTAGTTCATTAGTTGTTCGTGCCGCCCAACGACACCGCCGAGGAATGTTGTAAGCTCAATTCTGCCTGAACTAGTGATGCAGCACAGCACTAGCAGATAGACGTGCGAAACATTCCGAGTAAAGCCAGCTCAGGACATAATGTCATTTGTTATAGTCCCTGAACTTTGGCCCAATGTGCATTTTGGTCCCTGAACTTTTAATTTGTTCAATATAGTCCCTAAACTTTAATCTAATGTGCAATGTGGTCCATGAACTTTTAATTTGTTCAATGTCATCCCTGAACTTTTGGTATATGTTCAATTCAGTCCCTGAACTATATGAAAATGTTCAATGCAGTCATTTTCATTAATTCAAGTTCAGGGACTACATTGAATATTTTCACATAGTTCAGGGACTGAATTGAACATGTACCAAAAGTTCAGGGATGACATCGAACAAATTAAAAGTTCAGGGACTATATTGAACATTAGCTTAAAGTTCAGGGACTAAATTGAACAAATTAAAAGTTCAGAGATCAAATTGTACATTGGGCCAAAGTTCAGGAACTGTTTGTATCATTATCCCTTGAAAGAACTAGAAAGCACCAACCATGCAAGATGACAACCATGACATATACAACCATGCCAACGAATAGTAGTGTATTACTATATGATTTTCATAAAGTACAACAAGCCAACATGCACACTAGGTGATTCCCTGGCCTCACCTTACAAATTATTCTCCAGGTCGCCACCGTGCCGACGCCCACCACTCAAGCGCTCAAAACCACTGGAAACGACGCATGTATCAGTAATTTACATGCTTTAGAAATTCATGCATCAGGCTTTATCTATTCAACAGAGTAGCTTCTGCATGCATCTTCATTCCGTCCTAAGCGGCTTCCTCTTCTTGGTTGTTAACCCGTTCGCATTCATCGATCCATTCGCTGTATCTGCAAAAATTTTAAATCCTTTTGAGAGAAAGAGGGAGAAAGAGAGGTATAAACGGAAATGAAGAGGAAGCTATAGCCACAACGAACTTACATGTCTATCGGCTCAGTTAAAGCTGCAGAAGTTACAAAGAAAAGTGGGTCAGGACAAATACAGAAAATAATCTTTTCTGGAGAGGAGCAAAAATGAAGAAACAGAGTCAACCACATATAGCTTAAGGAACTACACGTTCTTAGCATCTAATCACCCGAAATGTTCCGACCAAAAAAAAAAATCACCCGAAACGTCGACGCAGTTAAATGCAGAGAGCTCTAAACAAAAGAATGTTAACTCGCTGCTTTCACATTTCAAAACAATAGAGGTAAAGTATCAAACAAACATTATTTAGCTCCGTTTATGCTTTGAGCAAAGATGAAAGTCTAAACCGGAATTCCAGTGTCAGCAGAATATGGTCTTCTCTGCTTCCTTATGACATCAAATCTATACAGCTAAAACAATACTGAAGGTGCTCTTGATCTCTTTTGATCATGATATATGTTAAAATTGGCATTCTAGACATCTTGCGTGCAGAAGTTATATGTATTGCCCACAAAGCATCCTATCAAAAAGCACACGGATGTCGCCAGAACTTCGTTGAGTCATTATAAAAACAAAAATAGATTTTATTAGTATCATCATAAGCAAATATTACAAGTAGTTTTCAGCAGAAAGTACAGGAGAAGGATACCTGTGATGGTAGTGCTAAAGCTTTCCTGGCAGATTCCACATATGGCTTCACCGATGAGGTTCTTCATATCACTGAAATAAAAAAATGAAGATGTGAGTACAATATCTCTAAATAAACACCCTCAGGAGGGCAATACTTTAAACTAAAATTTTCTGGCTACAATGACATTCCCTCTCAATCCTCCATTTTCCCTTCCCACTCTGTTGCCATGTTAATGCCCTTGTAATTCTATTTTATACTTCCAAAGAGCAGAATTATCTGTGACATAGTAACTTTGGCAACAAACTCTTTCTAACCCTCAAGTTAAGTAACTGGAGTTTCTCGGCAAGCACATGGATTTGATGCATAATGATATTACAATTTCCAGACATCCCAGGCTCCAAGAGAAACTATCCAGAAAAAAGGAAACAAGAGAGAAGACGGATTCAATAGATACTTGCATGCGACATTCAACACTTGTGCCATGGTTGCAGAATGGACAGCTAAAGACCGTATCTAGCTTGTCCATTCGCTTCTTAGGAGGTGGCTTCGCCCTCGACTTCCTCTTTCCCATGGCTTAAGCTCCTTCTGCATAGAATGATATTTACCAAGAGAGTCAGTAGCTAGCTAAGAGCAAAATTTAGTAGAATACAAAATTCCACAAATGCAAAACTCGAGAGCTTAACCAAAAGGACTCAGGAATAACCCCATAAGCTTTAGTTCTAGATGAAGAAAAAGGCCATGCAATCCCCTCCCAGAAGGACTAAAAGTTCCACGCGTTAAAAAGACATTGAGTGTGCTCTGAGACCAAGAACTACTTTCCTCATGTTCTATCCAAGTAGAAACTCCAGCATGATAACGCTTGGAGTCCCATGTTCACAAGAAAAATTGCAGGATATCCATAATTTTACAAAGAAACACGCTCTAGAAAAGGACTCCTACTGATCTTCTCAAAGATCGCAGCTGGCTATAAACAATTTGACAAGCACTTACTTGCAAATTAATTCCCATGGATTCCATATCCACACAGAAGCCTCAAAGCCAGCTGAAACTCAGCCCTCAAGAACTCCATAAATTTAGAAACTTTAAATGATCTAGCAACTTACCCAGGTTCCCTCTTTCAGTTTCATCAAACACTAAGCATCTCTCTCACCTCCTCAGTCGGTAACCCAACCATCTAAGTCGATCATATCTCCTTAATCTAACACCACCCACGCACTAAATTCGTTCACTCAGATACACCCAGAAACGGATTCACGTCCAGCGAGTCACCAAGAACTCAATTCAAGATTGATCGGCACAAAAAAAGGGAACTCGATCGCAGTCGCCTATGAAAAAAGAACCTCAATTTTGATATTTTTTTCCTCAGGAACGCCGATCGACCGACTAAAGCCGATCGATATCCACAGAACGTCGAGAAACAGAGTAGAGAGCGAAAGGGAAGTACCGAGATCGGAGGAGCGAGTCCTGGAAATCGCGCGTCGATGGAAACCCTAGCGATGGCGAGCTCCGTCGACGAGGGCCGAAGGAACCACCAGAGGGAGAAGAGAGAAGTGGAATTGGAGGAAGACTAAGGAAGAAGAGGCCGAACGAGAGTAGAAAGTTCCCTGCTTATAAACGTCATTTCTTATCTTAACTTTGTCATTTTGTGCATCCATTCGTTCGGGAAAAAAAAAAAACACACTAATCCCTAAACTTTGGTCAAATTTACGATGTCGTCCCTGAAGTTTTAATTTATTTAGCTCAATATGCAATATCGTCTGAACTCTTAGTTTGTTCGATGTAATTCATGAACTTTTGTCCAATATTCAATGCGGTCCCTGAACTTTTAAATATTTTCATATAATTTAGGAACTATATTGAACATTTACAAATAGTTTAGAAATAATATTGAATAAATTAAAAATTTAGGAGCGACGTTATACATTGAGTCAAAGTTCAAGGAACACATTGTGCAAATTAGAAGTGCACTGACAACATTACCCATTAAACCAAAGTTTATGAACCATTTGTGCTTTATTCCTTAAAAAAACAAAAAAAAAATCTTCTTAAACTCTAGCTCTGGAAGCTTGTTAAATATATATAATTAAAAGATATTTTATTTTCAAATCATTAATTATGATTTTCATTGAGACTTGAAATTTCATTAGGTTAAATGTAGATCTATCAAAATGGATCATAAATCCATTAAATATAGTATGATTATTAAATGGGTCATAAATAGGCTTACAACTTACTTAGGCCAACATTTCTATCGATAAATAGGAGGTTTTCAAGTCAATGGCCAAGTCATTATTACTTCTTGGGTTGTAATTGCTATCTTGTTAGGTTCAGCCAATATAGCTATTCTTTATCCACAAACCATTCGAAATGACACTCAGAATTTCTTTGAACATGTCCTTGAATTCATTCGAGACGTTAGCAAAACTCATATCGGAGAAGAATATGGTCCACGGGTTCCTTATGTTGGAACTATGTTCCTATTTATTTTTGTTTCGAATTGGTCAGGGGCTCTTTTATCATGGAAAATCATAGAGTTAGCTCAAGAGTTACTTCATGGGTTCCTTCGTCCTCTCCCGCCCTCACTCGATCTTACACTCACTCACTCCGCACACTCACCTCAATTTGGGTGCGAGTTTTCCTATATTAGGTTTAATATGAAATTGTTTTAATAATATGGATTGGGTCACTATCGGATACAGGTCACTAGATTTGCATTGTGCGAAAATGATTCAAAATGGGTTAAATGAGTTTATATAGTCAAACCATTCTTGATCCAATCTAAAGCCAATTCGACCCATCCATTTGATGGGTTTATGTATAGCTACAAAATATAGCTAATTGATACATTTCTCGAACCCATAGGGCTCACCAAACATTAAACACCACAAAATCTACTACTCAAAGATGTGGATAAAATTTTTTGCTAATATGTGGATAATCGTCGATTAATATCAAAGATGAAAGTGCGACTCAAATTTTTGGGAAAGATTTATCTACAAATGTAGAATAATAAGATGAAAGTTGAGAAAGATTAATAACAAATGTAGATGAAAGTTGCCTCAGGAAAGGAGCCTATGATACCGAGTTGAGAACAATAAGATACAGAAGAGAGAAATATGGAATTTTTTGTATATTTCAATGTATATATAAATGAATACATCAACCAATTTATAGACTTTATTAGAGAACTATTCTAAAATAATAATTCAATCAAGATATGCATAATTAAAAGGAGATATATGTGCAATTTTGAGAGATACGAATAATCAACAAATATCATAATTATCTCTAACATAGGAAAATATCCTATAAAAAGTGCTAAATATTTCCAGCATACACGAGTGAATGGAACTTGAACGAGAGGACACTGCGGATGACGCCATTGAAGCTCTCTCCTATCCAGCTCCGGTGAGTCGCTCGATGTCCTTATTATAGCTAACTCTTATTTCACGTGCTCCAAAAGACATAGGTTTGTATACATGCAATCTTGAAATATACAAATAATCAAGAGAAATATCATAATTATTTTTAATATAGGAAAATATTTTATAGAAAGTGCTAAATATCTCTACACCAATGATTGGATATGGAATACGAGGACACTGGTGGATGACGCCGTTGAAACTCTCTCCAACTCCGGCAAGATGCTCCCTTTGTCCTTGTTATGGCCAACTTTTTATGGCTATTTTGAGTGAGTTGGCGAGAATGAGGCCTCTCGTTTGTTGGGATCAAGATCTACGGCGTCAACAACACCTTTAAAGCCTATGCTAAGAATGCGGTCAAACCTTCTCTAGCAACACGAACAGAAGAACATCGTCCACCACGGTCAACGCAAGCGCGGCCGCAAGTGGCAAGAACTTAAATAGGTGGGTGGAGTCGGGCAAATTCTTTCGGAAATCGATGCTGACGGTGATGCCGTTGCCCAACTCTCCTGTTCATCTGTATCTTTTTCCGTTTCACCCGGCCATTACTGTTTTTTACCCCTGTTTTCGTCGAATGCATACATTTGTAGCTTTTGTTCTATTGATTTTTGGTCATATTCCGTAAAGTAGCTGCAGATTCAAGAGCTGGCATTTGAGAAATGCTTATATGGCAGTTCTTAATCTATTGTGAGAATAACAACCTCTTCTGAGCCACAAAAAATATATAACAAATAATTAGAAATTATTATGGAGTCCATTTATTGAAGAATTTGTAGCTCAAAACATGTCGTTTTTCTAACGGTAATCCAAAAACTGTTATGCTAGCAAAGGCCTCGGATTCTGCTATTTGGGACTCATGATTTGAGAACATTAAATTGTAGATTGATCCACAAAAGACGCTAAATTGCAGGGATATCATTCTTACTTAGGTTTGGAACTTAGTGTGTGTTAGTTTTGCGGAAAATCAATGATTTGAAAAATATTTTCCTAAAACCGATTACTTGTATCGTTTACGAAAATAAATGAACAAAAGATATTTTCATTATCTACATAAATAATTAGACATAAATTGTTATTGATGATGTTAACTAATTATTTCAAGCGAAACAATGGTCATTTCTGGGAATATGTTTTCCAAATCAGTTCTTTTCTTCGAAATAAACAGACCCTTAGTACTTAGTTCATATAGTTTATGAATAGCGAATTAAATAGAGTGGGGAAAGAAAAAAAGGGTAATTGGAACAATATGGATTAGCGCGAAGTTAGCATGGTCATTGCAATTAGCTTAGTATGTTTCTTGGAGTATCTAGAGTAGAGCATGCCTACGCAGTCTAGTGTAGGAATTACTAAATTGATCTGCAAGTACGTATTCGTATAATACAATGATATTGACAACCCCAAAATGTAATTGTCTCCTCATAAATTATGAGAGTTATAAAGAAATTTTCCAAGGTCCTAAAGACAAATTCAATTAAAAACTTCGTTTTATCTTCGATATGGAACGTGCCCGACATGTTGAAGTGCCAAAGCTTTAGGTTTGTTAAGATTGTTTCTTTGGTGCTCTTTGTTTCTCTATTTGGCACTCTGCTATTGAGTTTTTAGAAGCTAAATGAAACTTTGATTGATCACTAGTTGTTAAAATCGTGAATTTGGTTAGTATTGATAAGTGTTCGAAGAATCGGATCACAAGATCCTAAAACTTTCAAAAGCAAAATAACTATCGTGAACGATCATTTTGAAATTATCAACGTAATATCCTGTGAAGTTTTTGTAATCATTTGAAATTATTAACATAATATAGTGTGTCAAAAGTAAAAAAGTGACATCAGATGATTGTGTCATCTGGATAGTTATATTAAAAGAAAAATCATATATTTATGATGACATAAACAGTCTCTGAACTTTGATCAAAAGTGCAATTTGGTCCCTGAACTTTTAATTTGTTCAATATAATCCCTCAACTTTAGCTTAATGTTCAATGTGGTCTCTGAACTTTTAATTTGTTTAATGTGATCCCTGAACTTTTGGTACATGTTCAATGTAGTCATTAAACTATACAAAATTTTTCAAAATAGTCCTTGAACTTACATTAATGGAAGGACTACATTGAACATTTTCATATAATTTATGGATTAAATCGAACATGTATAAAAGTTCAGGGATGACATTGAACAAATTAAAAGTTCATGGACCACATTGAATATTAAGTTAAAGTTCAGGGATTACATTGAACAAATTAAAAGTTCAAGGACCAAATTACACATTTGGCCAAAGTTTAAGAACTGTTTGTGTTATTTTTCCATTTTTTTATAATCTCGATTCTTAAGGGATATGAATCTCGAGACTGATAAAAAAATCATTGTAGAATTAGTATGATTGCACGGATACCAAGAAATTATTAAATTATGATTGCAACTCTACAACAAAATTGAAATCCCGCACATGTTCAATATTCTTAGGACTGAAACTTAGCTTTATTTTCGAAGGTTGTGATTCATGAAGTAACTGGACAGCAGATGAAAAGCATCTCCAAGGCAGCTAGCTACCAATCCCACAGGAGAGCATTTTGACAAGTCTAAACCACTCACGGTGAGAATATGGCTCTAACTGAGGGAAGGACTAGAAACTTGAACCTTTCAACATTGCGCCTTGCTACTCTATTTGCGTTTGTAGTCATTGAAAGTCTAGAGTTGCAATCGCCGCTGTTTCTCACTGATTCAAGTTTGTGTGGCATTTCAGAAAATTTCTTCATCGTTTTTCGACGTCTTTAGCAATCATCGGCATCGTTTCTCAACATTTTGGAGCCACGATTGGATCCTCTGCTCTCCTTTGCTTTCAGCCAAGAAAAGTCCAACTACTGCCTTTCCTTCAACATTCCTTCATTGGCGTCTACACACGCCGGAAACTTTTCCAAAATCTCCTGTTGTTTTTCATGTCAAGCGTAACCAGTGCACTACGAAAAACTAAGGACATTTAATTTGCAATTTTTGCAGCCATGGCAACAACGGATGTCAATGTAATACATGAACCATTGTTCGAAGCTGCATTGAAAAGCGATCAACAAAATACAGGATGGAGATTTTGAAGCAATGACGGCTAATATTATGGCCGTCAACACTTTACTGTCCTCAATGTTGCGATTATAGTCGCACAAGCTGAATTGGTTGAGAATTTGG